GCTGGGCATGGTGGCACGTGCCTGTAGTCCCAGCTACTCAGGAGGCTGAGGCAGGAGAATTGCCTGAACCCGGGAGGCGGAGGTTGCCGTGAGCTGAGATCGCGCCATTGCACTCCATACTCCAGCCTGGGTAACGAGTGAAACTCCGTCTCAAAAAAAAAAAAAAAAAAAAAGAAGAGAAAAGAAAAGCAAAAGCAAAAGCTGAGGGCTAGTGCTGAGAAAACTTGACATTTTGTGAGCAGAAGAAGGGGGCCTCATAGAGTGGTCTTTGGGAGACTAGGAGAGAAGCCAGGGAGTGAAATGTTTATAGGTTTTCTAAAACCTAAAAATTAGCATATCTGAGATTCTGTCTTCTGTAAGCTAACCTTAGAAATTAAATTTATTTAATAGAAGCCAGGTAATATGAGGATCACATCTTGTGATTTCTTTTTATTATGCTGACAATATCATAATATTGTATTTTTAGGTTTTTTTTTTTTTTTTTGAGATGGGGTTTTGCTCTTGCTGCCCAGGCTAGAGTGCAGTGGTGCTATCTCAGCTCACTGCAACCTCCACCTCCCAGGTTCAAGTGATTCTCCTGCCTCAGTCTCCTAAGTAACTGAGACAACGGGCATGCACCACCACTGCCCAGCTATTTTTTTTTTTGCATTTTTATTAGAGACAGGGTTTCGCCTTGTTGGCCAGGCTAGTCTTGAACTCCTAACCTCAGGTGATCTGCCCAAAAAGATCTCCTAAAGCGCTGGGATTACAGGTGGGAGCCACTATGCCCCACCCCCCCATTAGGTATTAATGCGAGTAGAACTAACCCCCTTCAGCCGTGTGAATTGGTATGTTATGTTATTTATTTGTTTATATTTTGTTTTTCTTTTACATGGGTGTTGCTTGCCAAGGTATAATTTATTAGTAGTACATATTACTAGTGAAGAAAATAGTCTTTGGACTTACTTTCTGTTTCCCTTAATACTCACTGGTTATAGCATTTGAACTTACTTTTTATTGTCCAATTAGATGAATGTCTTTACATGAAACTTTTTTCGTGTTTCTTGGGTTTTTGTTAATATTTATTGTATTAGAAAAGAAAGTCATACCTATTCCTGAGACTCATTATCTTTATGATTATGGAGGGTTTTGTACATTGTTAATTTTTTACAGCATAGCATAGCTTATTACTTAGGCAAAGGTAGTACCCTAGATGTAGTTCTGGGGTGGAGGGAGGAGGAGGCATAGTAGAATGTGCCCAAAAGTAGAACTGAAAAAGAAAATTCAGAGGCCCAGAATGGATTATTGATTTACTATAGATTAGCACTGCTTTATACTTGGAGAGCTTTATTCTGTTTGTTTAAGTAAATGACAAATATTTAAATAGGATATGGCTACTTTTGGATTTGTCTTTTCACAAGACAAATCCAAAAGTGATATTTCTCCCAGCTCTTATTCACGATGGAGTTGCTCTGGTTAAAATGCCGCTGACATTTCCCCCTCACAGAAATATTAGATGTCAAGGGTCCAGAAATTGGAAGTTCAGCCTAGGACCCAGTTCAGTGATAGGCTCCATAAATTCTCTGAGAAAAAGTCATTTAGGGCCGGGAGCCATGGCTCACGCCTGTAATCCCAGCACTTTGGGAGCCCGAGGTGGGTGGATTACCTGAGGCCAGGAGTTCAAGACCAGCCTGGCCAACATGGTGAAATCCCATCTCTATTAAAAATACAAAATTAGCCAGGTGTCATGGCACATGCCTGTAATTCCAGCTACTTGGGAAGCTAAGGCAGGGGAATCACTTGAACCTGGGAGGCGGGGGTTGCAGTGAGCCGAGACTGTACCATTGCACTCCAGCCTGGGCAACAAGAGTGAAACTCTGTCTCAAAAATAAACAAAAACAAAAAGTCATTTAGCTTATATTCTTTTTCTTTTCTTTCTTTCTTTCTTTCTTTCTTTTTTTTTTTGAGACAGAATCTCACTCTTTTGCCCAGGCTAGAGTGCAGTGATGTGATCTTGGCTCACTGTAAACTCTACCTCCCGGGTTCAAGGGATTCTCCTGCCTTAGCCACCAGGGTAGCTGGGACTACAGGTACATACCACCACGCCCAGCTAATTTTTGTATTTTTAGTGTTTTACCATGTTGGCCAGGATGGTCTCGATCTCATGACCTTGTGATCCACCCGCCTTGGCCTCCCAAAGTGCTGGGATTACAGGCATGAGCCACCACGCCCGGCCTCAACACTTGTTTTCTTAGGCCATTGTGTCTTTCTTCTTTTTCTTTTTTGGACTTTCCAGTAAAAACTGGGAAGCCTGCTAGACAAATTCTGAAAGAGCTGTAACACTGCCATGATAGCTTTCTCTGACATATGATTAAGATTTGTCCTAACTTGTCTCTTTTAAAAATATTTAAAAATTTTGCCGGGCACGGTGGCTCAAGCCTGTAATCCCAGCACTTTGGGAGGCCGAGGCAGGTGGATCACGAGGTCAGGAGATCAAGACCATCCTGGTCAACATGGTGAAATCCTGTCTCTACTAAAAAAATACAAAAAATTAGCTGGGCATGGTGGTGCATGCCTGTAATCCCAGCTACTCAGGAGGCTGAGGCAGGAGAATTGCCTGAACCCAGGAGGCGGAGGTTGCGGTGAGCCGAGATCGTGCCATTCATTGCACTCCAGGCTGGGTAACAAGAGCGAAACTCCGTCTCAAAAAAAAAAATTTAAAAATTTTATTTTATTATTATTATTTGTTCATTTTATTTTATTTTACAAACAGGATCTCACTCTGTCACCCATGCTGCCATGTGGTGGTGCAATCCTGTGGTGTGATTCACTGTAGCCAGGAACTCCAGGACTGAAGTGATCCTCCCATGTGTAGCTAGGACTATCACACCCTACTGAATTTTTTTTTGTGTGTGTGTGTGTGTGTGTGGAAATGGGGACTTGCTATGTTGCCTGGGCTGGTCTTGAATTTTGTGAGGTTTTTATTATTTTTTCTTTCTATTTTTTAAGTGAAAGCAAATTTATTAAGAAAGTAAAGGAATGAAAAATGGCTACGCCATAGGCAAGGCAGCCCCAAGGGCTGCTGGTTGCCCATTTTTATGGTTATTTATTGATTATATGTTAAACAAAAGGTGGCTTATTCATACCTCCCCTTTTTAGATCATGTAGGGTAACTTTAGACCATATAGGGCAGGCATCCCCAAACTACCGGCCAGCCGCATGCGGCCCCCTGAGGCCATTTATCCGGCCCCCACCGCACTTCAGAAAGGGGCACCTCTTTCATTGGTGGTCAGTGAGAGGAGCACAGTATGCGGTGGCCCTCGAACGGTCTGAGGGACAGTGAACTGGCCCCCTGTGTAAAAAGTTTGGGGACGCCTGATATAGGGTAACATTGCCATGACATTTGTAAACTGTTGTGGTGCTGGTGGGAGTGTAGCAGTGAGGACAACCTGAGGTCACTCTCATTGTCATCTTGGTTTTGGTAGGTTTTGGCTGGCTTCTTTACTGCAAGTTGTTTTATCAGCAAGGTCTTTGTGACTTGTATCTTGTGCCAACCTCCTGTTTCATCCTGTGACTATTAATGGCTTAACCTCCTGGGAATGCAGCCCCCAAAGCTTCAGACTTATTTTACCCAGCCCTTATTCAAGATGGAGTTGCTCTGGTTAAAATGCCGCTGACATTTCCTCCCCTCCCTTTTACAAGGGAACCCTTAATCCTAAGGGTTGAAGAGGAACAAAGATCCATCTTCTGCAACTTCTTCAGGCTGAATAGGGGCGATGATATTGCTGCCTAACTATTAGGGTCTTTTGTATTCAGGATAGAAAGAAACTCAGTCAGAAAGCATTGGTATGGCAAGGGCCATTCATAACGCTTGAGTTTTGACAAAAGGCAGTATCTGGAAGATTAACTGTTCAATTTAAGAGAACATTGAGTAAGCCTATCCTGCATTCCTACATAAACAGTACTATAGCAGTATATTCCACAACAGCAAGGCAAAATAAGTAAATTATCCCAAGCAAATGAACTTAGAAGGCTTTCCATGAACTCAGCAACTGTTAGAACCAAGCTGATGTGAGGTTGCTAGCTGATTCCAGTATGTGTCCAGGATTAGAATATTGATCCAGATTAAGCAACCAGAGATCACTGGTTGATTTATAAGAATAAGCAGAGTCAGTCTAAATTGCAGAAAAAAATTCAAAAACAACTGATGAGACTCAATATATATATATATATTTTGAAATGGAGTCTTCTTGTGTTGCCCAGGCTCAAGTGCAATGGCGTGATCTCGGTTCACTGCAACCTCTATCTCCCAGGTTCAAGTGATTCTCCTGCCTCAGCCTCCTGAGTAGCTGAGATTACAGGTGTCCATCACCATGCCTGTCTAATTTTTATATTTTTAGTAGAGACGGGGTTTCACCATGTTGGCCAGGCTGGTCTTGAACTCCTGACCTCAGGTGATCTACCTGCTTCAGCCTTCCAAAGTGCTGGGATTACAGGCATGAGCCATCGCTCCCAGCCCAAGACTAGAATTTAATAACAGGTATACCATAGTTCTTGAAACATAATTTTTCTCTCCAGTCTCCCATTTTTACTAAAGACAAATTATGGAAGACCGATTTGCTTTATTGTAGTTGGCCTGATATTTGTATAAAGTGCAGCAAAAATAATTATTTCTCACATAGGCGTTTGAAACTGACTTTGTTGGAACTCTGTTCCATAGAAGGAATCTCAGATAAGACCTTTTTAATTTTAATTTTAATTAATTATTTATTTATTTTTAAGACCTTTTTAAAAAGTTGAGCCCAGCCATGGGTTTGTACCCTCAAATACCTATGAGTTGAGTAAATACTTCTCTTGAGGTTCGGGGCTCCTAGGCCTGTACCATACTTCTTTACTTACCAAAGGTCAGGAACCCTGTGCAGGGACTGTGTAGACAAGAAGCCAGTTTCCAAAGGGGCTTTAAAAAAAAAAATCTAGTTGAGTTTATTGCCATTCACGTTTCATAGAAAAAAAAATGTAGCAAAATCCAGGTTTGTACAGGTTGCTGTATTTACCTCTGGGAGCAGGGCTGTCCCAGCATCAGATACAGCAAGTGCACTTGTCCAATTTTTCTTTGCAGATGCAGCCCTGGGCACACTTGGCACAGCCCACAGGGCAGCAGGAGCAGCAGCTCTTCTTGCAGGAGGTGTATTTGCACTCTTTGCATTTGCAGGAGCCTGCACGGCCGCAGGAGCCCCCAGGCAAGCAGGAGCAGTTGGGGTCCATTTCGAGGCAAGGAGAAACAGGAGTTCCCAATGGAGAAGCAAACATGCTGTGGCACAGATGAAATGCGTGGTCCAAAGGGGCTTTTATTGGCTCTAAAAGTCAAGTTTGATTCTTTAAAGGAAAGCACACCATTCCAGTCAAAACCTTGGTAAAATACCAGTTTCTCCAATTGTGCCCTGTTACAAATGAAACAGATTCTTTTTTTGCTTTTTTTTTTTTTTTTTTTTGAGACGGAGTTTCGCTCTTGTTACCCAGGCTGGAGTGCAATGGCCTGATCTCGGCTCACCGCAACCTCCACCTCCTGGGTTCAGGCAGTTCTCCTGCCTCAGCCTCCTGAGTAGCTGGGATTACAGGCACGTGCCACCATGCCCAGCTAATTTTTTGTATTTTTAGTAGAGACGGGGTTTCACCATGTTGACCAGGATAGTCTCGATCTCTCAACCTCGTGATCCACCCGCCTCGGCCTCCCAAAGTGCTGGGATTACAGGCTTGAGCCACCGCGCCTGGCCCAAATGAAACAGATTCTTATTGCAGTTATGCAAATAACTATTGTCATAAGTTAAGATACTCACTAATAGTGTTCAAGTTCTGGAGAAATCAGTTAGAGAGAAACAAATATACTCCAAATTTTGTTTACAGGAATATACTCAATTGTTAAAAGCTGTCAATAGCTCAAAAGAAAAGTTTCCTTGACTCTGGAAAATGGAGTTTTGCTCTGTCACCCAGGCTGGAGTGTAGTGGTGTGATCTCAATTCCCTGCAACCTCTGCCTCCCAGGTTCACGCAATTCTAGTGCTTCAGCCTCCTGAGTAGCTGGAATTACAGGAGTGAACTGCCACACCTGGCTAATTTTTGTATTTTTAGTAGAGATGGGTTTTGCCATGTTGGCCAGGCTGGTCTTGAACTCCTGACCTCAAGCGATCTGTCTGCCTCAACCTCCCAAAGAGTTGGGATTACAGGCATGAGCCACCATGCCTGGCTTTTTTTTTTTTTTTTTTTTAGTTAGAGACACAGTCTCACTATATTGCATGTTGCATGCCCTGGTCTGGAGGTATCCTGGGCTCAAGGTATCCTCCTGCGTTGGCCTCCCAAAGTGTTAAGATTATAGGTGTGAGCCATCATGCCCAGCCTGGTCTCTAATTTGAGCTCAAGTGATCCTCCAACCACAGCCTCCAGTAGTAGACTTTAGGTATGTGCCACCCGCCTAGCTCTGTCTTCTCTCCTAAAAGCATTACAGATGCTAGCTCTTCCTGCTGTCTTTTGCCTCCCTTGACCAAGGGTCTCTATTGAGGACTGTTTCTACTCCCTTCCTGGAGATACTTTAATTTCCAGAGTATCTTTCATAACCTCTTTTTACAATCCTGCTTCTCCATCTTATTTCTTCTCTTCATTGCTACCATCCCAGAAGCTACTCTATCAACATGTTATCTATCCATACTCTTGACCAGGTGGCAGTTCAACAAGTTTTAAAGCCTGAACATGTACTTCTTTATAGTCATTCCTCCATTTGTTCATAATATAATTGATATCCTAAATGCAACTCCTGCAGATTCCATTTTGAAATTCTCCTTTATATATGTGTGTGTATAAAATTTAAACTAACATAACAAATAAATGGGTTTAAAAATCTTTTGAAAAAGATTAGATCCCTTGGATGTCTTTATTAAATAGTATGTGAACAGGGTGAATATTAAGGAGTTACTCAGTATTCTGGGCCATGCCTATAATTACTTCAGAATAGCTTTATTCAGATTTTTAGGCATTATTTTACTGATTTGTTATCATGAAATTTAAAGTACTATTTTTTTTCCTTTTGTAAAGTTATACACATTGGCACATTTAAGATTGACTAGCTGCTGAAGGAAAGGAATGATAACCACCAAGCATTTAGTGTTAATTTTCATAATTTTTCTATTTAAATCAAAAGCACCCTTTTAAAGCTCCTAACTCAGCCTTTTATAAATAAAGTAAATCATCTTGCAGTGCACTCCTTGATGATGGCTTATGTTGTTTTTCTAAAGAAAGAGTTTAATTAAGATTTGATTTTCTTCTATTCTGTACTTTGTTTATTCATCACAGAATGAAACCTAGGTCTTTAATGTCAATGGTAAGTCTGATGTTTTGGGTCATCGATGACCATTGCGGTCTTCAAAAAAACAGCTGAATATTTATCTTTTGGGTATGATTAGAACATAATCTAGCATAAAACAGGCTGCCTATGACCTTAGCATGGGCTTCTGTCATTGCAGGGAAACATTTCTGGTCAGTGGCCACTATTTACAGTTTGTTAAAATCAACGCAAATGTACAAATAACTCATGAATAATTGCGAACACAGTATTTAAATGGATGTTTAATAAATATGCATTAAAAATCTAATTACAGTAATGAAGTTTACAGCTGAAATTTTAATCCAGCCCTTTAGAAATATTAAACTGCTTTTCCTGATTGTGCATTTTTCTCACAGCAGTTGGGTAAACATTTTAAACTGGAAATCTGAATTCCTTATACAGTTTTGATTTCATTTAACTAAGCATGTGTTCTTTTTGGCAACCCTCCTCTTTCTCTTTGTGAAGAAGTGAAGCTCCTTTATTCCATAACTGTTACTTTGAAGCATTTTGATCAGTTCTGTTTTAGGAATGGTAAACATGTGGGATACCAGATGACTAATAAAACCTGATCGGGAAAAGACTAGATTGCGATTTTGGTTTCATTCTGCAGTACTGGATCAATCATTTGATATGGTATTTCCATTACTCATCTGTAGACTGGGATTAATTTTCCTAACTCTGCCTTCCTTGTAGGTCATTTATGAGACTTAAATAGGTTATTATGTGAGAAAGTCTTTTGAAAACTGTAAGAAGTTTCAATTACATGTATGTAATTGAAATATTAACAATGAAGTGGTAGAGGTGGTAGATTCTAGTCAGTGAGTAGAAATGGAAAGAACTCAACTTTATACAAAATTTCTAGAACCATTTTAACTCTGGAGAGGCTCATTTATATTAGCAATGGCCAAGGGCCTAGTCTGAATTTAGTGCTTTGAATTCTAGAAAATGCAGTTTTGATTTTTCTGAGATTGTGCAATGGGTCTCTGTAGATAACCAGGGGTAGATTTTGTTCTCCTGGACTTAACTACTTTTCATCTGGATACCCTGAACACCTAGAGGTTCTTAGAAATTATGAATTATCTCTTTTTTGAGACAGGGTCTTGCTCTGTTACCCTGGCTGGAGTGCAGTGGCATGATCATGGCTCACTGCAGCCTTAACCTCCTCAGCTCAGGTGAGCCTTCTGACTCAGCCTCCCCAATAGCTGGGACCACAGGCATGAGCCACCACCACTACGCCTGGCTAATTTTTGTATTTTTTTTCTTGAAGCTCTAAATCTACTTTATAATTTATTTATTTATTTTTGATGGAGACAAGGTTTCAGCATGTTGCCCAGGCAGGTCTCAAACTTCTGGGCTCAAGCAGTGCGCCTGCCTCAGCCTCCCAAATTGCTGGAATTACAGTTGTGAGCTACCACACCAGGCCATAAATTACTTCTTTTGCCATTATGTTTCAAAGAAAGCTGTTAAAATTTGATTTATACTATGCAGGTAAACTATCTTCATTTAGTAAGAAATGGATACTGGTTTTAAAAGGAACTGGAGTGATTGTGAATTATTTGCTGCGCAGCAAGATCTAAAGATGGCTGGGTTTTTTTTTTTTTCGGAGAAAAGTCTTGCTCTGTCACCCATACTAAAGTACAGTGGCATGATCTCGGCTCACTGCAACCCCTACCTCTCAGGTTCAAGCAATTCTCCTGCCTCCGCCTCCTGAGTAGCTGGGACTACAGGCACCTGTCACCACGGCTGGCTGATTTTCATATTTTTAGTAGAGATGGGGTTTCACCATACTGGCCAGGCTAGTCTTGAACTCCTGACCTCAGGTGGTCTACGTACTTTGTCCTCCCAGAGTGCTAGGATTACAGATGTGAGCCACTGTGCCTAGCCTCAAGATGGCATTTCATAGAATCATAGAGTATTAGTGCTACAGAAGGCCTCTGGGCGATATAGTCAATGTTAAACATGTAGCTTCTGCCTTAACTGCTTCTTTTTGAGGCATCCTGTTGATTTTTGGGTAGCATTAATTTTGAGAAAACTAAGTAGGCTGAAATTTGAGAGTTTCTGTAAACTCTCCCCATTCATCTTGACTCTTTCCTCAGGTATAATATATATAACACTAATCCTGATTCCATGTGAGACAGCTCTTTTAACATATCAAGACTGATAATATTTCATTTATTTATTTACTCATTTACTCATTCATTTATCAAATTATTGGGTGCCACTTTGTCCCAATTCATTTAATCACCTTTAAAATATTAAAGGCTTATTGTATTTCTCCCATTCATTCATTTCCCACGTACTTCTTGCTGCCATCCATATGCTGGGATGTTGTATACTAAGTGTCTCGTTAATGTCAGCAGTCTTTTGTGCTGTCAATCAAGTCTCACAACATAGTTTCTAGATCCTTGAACTCCTTCCCTTCTTGACATTACTATCTACTTTCTGAATGACACTCTGAAAGTGTGGCCCCCAAATCACAATATATTCCTTCAAATATGGTCAGCCTATAGCCCTGTTGTAGGTTACCTTTTGTGTGTCCTGTTGCATTAACTTTTGGTGGTCAGGTCACATTCATATTTCACTTGTGACTCTTGGAGTTATTAAAACAGGTCTCTCCAGTTTGTATTTGATTTGTTATTTTTTCTATTTAAAAATAAATTAGGTTGGGCACAGTGGCTCACACCTGTAATCCCAGCACTTTGGGAGGCCGAGGCGGGCAGATCACAAGGTCAGGAGTTCAAGACCAGCCTGACCAACATGGTGAAACACTGTCTCTTCTAAAAATATAAAAATTAGCTGAGCATGGTGGCGCACACCTGTAATCCCAGCTTCTCGGGAGGTTGAGGCAGGAGAATCACTTGAACTTGGGAGGAGGAGGTTGCAGTGAGCCAAGATCATGCCACTGCATTCCAGCCTGAGTGACAGAGTGAGACTCCGTCTCAAAAACAAGAAAAAC